AAAGCGATATGGAAGCGGCGAAGATGGCAGTGTGTCACGCGCACAAGCTGCATGAGTGGTACCCACACCAGTTCTGCGCAGCGACACTGGATCGAAGCCTGCTATGCGGAGCGTGCAACATACAAAGCGTAGACGAGCAGCAACTGCGGCGATGGGGAAGGATCGATGTGGTCATCGCGGGGTGGGAATGCCAGGGTTACTCGCGTGCGGGAGCTGGAAGAGGCATGAGGGATGAATGGAGCAGCTTGTTTCGGGAGCTGAAGCGAGTGCTGGAGTTGATAAAGCGAATTCAAGGAGACGTGCTTTACATAGTCGAAAACGTGGACATGGAAGGGGACATTAGGGAACAGGTGCAGGTGGCGCACGAGGAGGTGACGGCAGCCCTGGGGCCGGGCGTAGCAGCAGATGGGGCTCAAGCAGGGAGCAGGGCACACAGGGTCCGTCGCTACTGGACAAACGGTGTGAGCGAGGCGGCGCTGCAGTACCGACTCTCACTGATGGAACGGCCAGTGCCCCTGCTAGTAGAGGATATTATGGAGCCGGGGAGAATGCCGGCACCTGTGGACCGGCCGGATTACCCGACACAATTTCCCTGCAATGAAGTGGGTAAGCCAAGACAGGCTTGGCCAACATTCGTCTCGCACAACGAAGCCTCAGCTTTCAGGATGCACGATGGGGTGCCAGGCCCAGGGATGATTTACGACTGCATGGCGCGAGAATGGCAGGAGCCGACGGCGGTGGAAAGGGAGCTAGCAATGGGGTTCATGATGGATGCTACGGCACACCCGGAAGTGACAGAGGAAGAGAGGAGGAGGGCGCTGGGAAGAGCCATGGATCTCAACGTGATGCATTGGCTGGTAGCCACCATCAGGATGTATCATTCGCAACTGCGATGGGAGAGGAAGCGGGATAAGGCGGCAGCAGTCCAACCGCCAACGGAAAGGTCACGCTCGAAGGAGGCGATGGCGAGAGCAATGTTAGGAGAGATTCAGGAATAGGACGAGCGGCAGCACGAGCGGGGGCACCCGCTGGAGAGGAGGTGTGTCTACCCCTGGGAGGAGGAGGATGAGAGACCAGTAGTGTATGCAGAACAGGAAGAAATCTGGCTACCAGGAGACCGGGAGGAGGAAGCAGTGGACAAGAAGCGGGAAGACTTCAGTTGGTTGGAAGAGGCGATCGAAAGGCAGCGGAGCAGGGAGAGGTACGAGTGGGAATTTGGGTTTAGCGACTTCGCGCTCATGGCCGCGACGAAAGAGGAGGATCCCGAAAGAGTGGAAGCACCGGGCGAGCAAACTACTACGGGCACCGAAGCGGCACAGCAGGCGGCAAGGGAAACAGAAGGAGCAGAGCAGCCGAAAAGGAGCGTGACGCGGCTAGGCGAGAGGAAGGGGCACAGGAGTGGGTAATAGGGGAAGGCATCTCCGAAGCAGATGCATGCAAGCTGAAGGAGGTCTTGGCCAAGCACCGGGCAGCCTTCGCCTACTCGCTAATGGAAGTGGGGAGATGCAACATGGCGGAAGTCACCCTGGAGCTAACGACAGACATCCCCGTGTACCAGCGGCGGCGGCGTATGACAGCAGAAGAGACACAGATTTGTAAGGAGAAGTGTCAGGAGCTACTGGAAGCAGGATTCATACGCAAGTCCAACTCTGAGTATGCAGCAGCGACGGTGGTGGCGGCGAGGACGGACCTGACGAGAAGAGTGCTCTCCAAGCGAATGTGCGGGGATTACAGGGGGCTAAACAAAGTCACGATTATGAAGAGGTATCAGACTCCGATGCCAGACGAAATCTTCGATCTGCTGGCGGAGGCGCTCGTGTTCTCCACGCTCGACCTGCGACAGGGGTTCAATCAGATCCCCATAGCAGAAGCAGACAAGAAGAAGACGGCCTTTCATGGGCCAGATGGACAGTACGAGTGGAACTTTCTACCTCGCCAGAGTTCCAGCGCATCATGGATCAGGTGCTGAGGGAGGTGCAGAATGCCGCATGCTACATCGACGATGTCATCGTGTTTAGTAAGGATAGCAGCTCGCACGTGAAGGACGTGGAGGCCACACTGAGCGCCATAGAGGGAGCGGGGCTCACATGTCATCCGGCGAAGTGCAAGTTTGGGCAGACGTCGGTGGAGTACCTTGGGTTCGAGGTGGAAGGAGGAAAAATCGGGATTCAGAAGGCAAAAGTTGAAGTGCTGGACCGTGTGGCTACACCGAAGGACCGAACCACCTTGCGGGCGCTGTTGGGGTTTCTAAACTACTACCGCAAGTTCGTACCGAACTTCAGCAGCCGCGCCACCGCGCTGAATCAGCTGCTCAGAGAGGACAAGCAGTGGGAATGGGGACCAGACCAAGAAAGGGCAGTGCAGGACCTGATGGGAGCAGTTAAGAATGGTGCAGTGCTGGAGCTGCCCAGAGCGGACTTGCCCTTCACACTCTACACCGACTGGAGCAGCGCAGGCATGGGAGCGGCGTGGAGAAGGTGGTGGCCTTCGCGAGCCGCGGCTGCAACGCAGCGGAGGCTAACTACTCGTCATATGAAGGGGAGGGGCTGGCAGTGGTGTGGGCGGTGAAGCACATCAGAGTTTACCTGCAAGGGAGGAAGTTCACACTAGTGACCGACCACCAGCCACTGCTTTGGCTGATGCAGACACCTGATCTCACGGGACGGAACGCCCGATGGGCAATGAAGCTGCAAGAATACGACTTCGAGATCAAACACCGACCAGGCAAGACCATGCAGCATGTAGATGGCCTGTCCAGGAACCCGCCGGAGGTGCAGCCATCTTCCTGCCTCATGGCAATGGCGAAGGAAGCAGACAGGGGGCAGGCGTGGGGGGAGAGCAAAGGGGGACCGGCTGAGATCTGGGAAGACCAGGAAGCCCTGGCATGGATACAGGGGGCAATCACAGAGGGAGGGGCGGTGCCGGCGAGAGTGCGAGCCAGGGGGGAGCATTACCGTTGGTTCAAAGGGCAGGTGCAGCTGCGTACAGGGGAAGAGTGGAAGCACGTCCCACCTCCGGCGGAACGAGAAGCTATCATCAGGGAGGTGCATACGAAGCTAGGGCACTACGGACCCCTGCGCACGCAGCAGCTGGTTCAGACGGGGTGGTGGTGGGCAGGCATGCGGCGGCAGGTCAAAGAGTGGGTGTGGAAGTGTGAGGCATGCTGCAGAAAGCGGGCAGTGCTGGAAAGGGAGAAGGCAGAGCTGCAGCCTTTACCCATAGTGAGTCTGGGCTACCGGTGGTCCCTGGATACAGCGGAGGAGCTGCCAGTCACCACGAAGGGCAGGAGGTATATACTCCTGATGGTGGAGCATGTCAGCAAGTGGGCGGAGGCAAAGCCACTCGTACACAAGACGGCGGAGGCAGTGACGGAAGCATTTGAGGAGATGGTGGTCACAAGGCTGGGGGCATGCGGGGAAGTACTGACGGACCAGGGCACCGAGTTCGAAGGGGCATTCGATCTACTGCTGAACGCCAGCGGCATACCGCACCGGTCGACCTCACGATACCATCCGCAGAGTGATGGGTTGACCGAGCGGCTGGTGCAGACAGTCAAGCGGGGACTGAGGGCTTATGGGGAGGAGCACAAGCGGGATTGGGACAGGAAGCTCTGCTGGGTCATGGTGGGATGCCGCTTCAGCAAACAAGCAGCGCTGAAGGACGTCTCACCCTATTACCTCTTGTTCGGCAAGGAGCCAGTGATGCCAGTGGGGGCACCGAGGCTGCTCCTGGATGTGGTGACCACGGGCTCGGCAGAAAAATGGGTGGCAGTGGCGGATGCCCGGGCGGCGTACCTGAGGCAGCTGCTGCCAGCAGCGCTGGAGAACTTACACGTCGCTCAGCTTCGGGAAATTGAGAGATACAAGGAGAGGCAGGAGGCGAACGGGAAAGGGGCTCTGGCAGGGGTGCAAGAGGAGGAGGAAGTCTACCTTAGGCGGCAGCGGAAGCACGCCCTAGACGTGGGACTCTCGCAGCAGCGTTGGACGGTGAAGGAGGTGCGGCCATCGGGGGTTATAGTGCTGGAAGATGGGAAAGGAAAGAGGGTGGCGGACCACGTTACCAACGTCGCCAGGATTCGCTCAGAGAAAGACAAGGGCGGACCGCAGGGTCCCATGATACGCGCGAGGACGGCTGCCATGCGTCATGGGAGGGGGCAAGGAGGGTCCGAGGAGGGAGAGAACAAAGGCAAAGGGAAGGAGAAAGTGGGGTAAAGACAACAAGGGAGAATAAGGGGAGGGAAGGAGTGGCACAAAGGGTTGAGTGGTCGGCTGAGAGCAACCGAGGTGGAGAGGAGGGAGACGCGCTGGGAGTGGAGGGGTGAGAAGTGAGGCAAACGCACGGAGCAGTCGAGGAGGGTGGCACGAGAGCAGGGCAGTACTAAGCAGAGGAAGTGGCAGTAAGAGGCAGCAGGCAACTAAGAAAGAAGTTTCCGACAGCTGTCAGAATTCTAAGGGTGACACCTAAGAAATCCTGACAGAGGGTGTAGCGAAGGGTAAGGCGGAAACCATGTATATTTGTACATAACGATGTAGCGAAGCAGTCTGTGGCGGGGGACAGTAACGGCAGCGGCGAGGCAGGACGAGGCACTTGGTAGGGTGGGTGGCACCGAAGGATTTGATCCCAAGCAGGGCGGCGGCAGAGCGGATGGAGGTGTGTTGGCAGGATTGGCAATGAGATGACATGGGCGCGGGGGTGCGAACGCATGATGTGTGGAATGCATGTGTATGCTTGGGGTTTCTTTTGCAGACACCGAGTCCAGGACAGAGATGGAAGGCAGCGACGCCAGCTGGAGGCAGGCAGGAAGACAGTATGGATGGCAAGCTAGGCAGGCAGCTCACCAATGTTTCATTGTTAGGCTAGCCTTGCTAGGGTTTGAGTAGGGAAGCTTAAGGCATGGTCCTGGGCCATGGGACTGCCATTGCGTGTTTGTTTTCGTGAATTACTGCAATAACTTCAACAACGGAGTGTGTAACGAAGCCATAACAAGCAGTCAGAATGAGTTAGGAACGGGAGGAGTTTAGGAGGGTCCGAGGAGGGAGAGAACAAAGGCAAAGGGAAGGAGAAAGTGGGGTAAAGACAACAAGGGAGAATAAGGGGAGGGAAGGAGTGGCACAAAGGGGTGAGTGGTCGGCTGAGAGCAACTGAGGTGGAGAGGAGGGAGACGCGCTGGGAGTGGAGGGGTGAGAAGTGAGGCAAACGCACAGAGCAGTCGAGGAGGGTAGCACGAGAGCAGAGCAGTACTAAGCAGAGGAAGTGGTAGTAAGAGGCAGCAGGCAACTAAGAGGGAAGTTTCCGACATCAACACCGGCCTAAGCAACAATGGTAACAACGGGGCAAGAGGAGCCCGCGCCTACATGCGGTGAGCTCCAAGGGCGTGAAGAACGCCCGTCAGGGTGCGCCACTGCTCCCGGACCACAAGCGTGCTTGCGCCGATCGCCGCAGCTCCAGATCATGCACGCAAGTGCCGCCTTAGGCCCCGGACAGCCTCGTCAAGCTGTCCCGCAGCAGCAGCGCAACCCTCCGCGGGCTCAGCCAGCACGGGCGCCAGTAGCACGGCGAGCTGGTCCGCCGCGTCCAAGCACGTCTCACACGGGCGGTCACGGAACGTCTCAGGTGGGATCACGGGGAGAGACGAGTGAGCAACAACCTGTATCAATAGCAACGCGTGGAGAATCTCCGCAAGGCGGTGGAGCTGGCCGAGCGTCGCCTCGGGAACACGCGTCTGCGGAGGCTGAAGGGCCTCCGCCAGGAACATGAGCGGCTCATTAGCAGCAGCGTGATGAGAATACTGAGTCGCCGCCGCGCCACCACCTGCGGACACAAATTCCACCCCAGCAACAGGCGGAACCGGCGGCAAATGGAGGCGCGATCCAGGAGCGGGTGCCGAGGCAGCGGGAGCAGGAGCCGTTGGGCGGTGAACCTGAGGTGGGGGTGCAGCGAGGGGCGGTGGACTCACGGGGAGCACAGGCTGGCGGGGAGCCTCAAGGGCCGGCGAGGGGCGCAGCGAACTGCTCTGGCTCTGCACCGCCCTCTCCTCGCGCACCGCCCTCGACACTTCCCGCTGAAGATCTGCCATCGTCACGGGCGGGCGGTACCCCCCACCACCACCGTGCCCGCGGGGACCCCTCCAGTCCCCCTGACCACCGGGGTGAGCAGGCCAGTGAGACTGCTGCTGCTGCGACGAGACGACTTGTGCTCCTAGTGGGCCGCGGGGGAATGGGGGCGTGAGAGGCGGCGGTCAGGTGACGGGGGGCGTGACGGCTGACCTGCCTGGGCCATCGGCGTCACAGCAGGCACGGATTGACCCGCCGCTGAGGGCGCAACCGACGGAGCCGAGCCGCCAGTGGTGGCAGATGCCGCCTTCGGTGACGAAGCAGAAGCCGGAGCAGGCACATCGGGGATAGAAGCGGGCGGTGCAAAGGGGGCGCCAGGGACAGGAACAGGGGGGTCAGTAACACCCACAGCAGGAGCAGACGCCGGCGGCTCGGCAAGAGGAGCCAGGGGACCAGGACCAGCAGCCAGAGCAGACGGAACAGCAACAGGGGCAGACGGGCCCGCATCTGGCACGGCAAGGGGATCCGCGGGTGCGTGGGGAAGAGTCTTTTCAGAGACTTCTGTCACGGGTTTCTGAGCCGGCGGTACAGGGGGCTTCGTCGCCATGGTCGCCCTTTCGGGCCCCGACGGAGGCTTGGCGGCCACAGCCGACCTGGCGGCCACAGCCGACCAGGCGGCAACGCGCTCTGGCGACGGCTCAGACGCACCGGCAATCACCATCGCAGGCGAGAGAAGCTCACGGAGATGGGCGCCAAGCAGCTAGCGGAGCAGGCGGAGGGCCGGAGAATGGGTATCAGGCAGCTGGTCGAAGGGCTTTAATCGCGCTGGTTGCAGCTAATGTGGCCGAAGAGAGAGCATATCCTGTTGGTGCAACCCTACGGTTTGCACTCGGCTTGTTGTCCGTGTGCGTGCATGCGTGTGTGCATGGAATGGTATGAGGGGCATGAGATAATATAAATTTCATGCTTATGATAGTGTGTGAATGATGAGTCTTGATGTTGAATGTGAGTGTGTGTCGAGTCAATAGCGAGTCATCGATAGTCGCGTGTCTACCTTGTCGTTTGAGTGTGTCGCGCGGTTTCTATTTTGTCGTGTGTCGAACGTTCGGCGTGTCGCAGGTGTGTGCAGCAGACCCATCAATAGCTCAAGGATGAGTTTGTGATGAAGAACCCGAGCCTTGGTGTCAAGCCTCAAGTGATTTCGAAGCTCGCCAAAAGGGTACACTTCAAGATGTTGAAGATAGGTGCATTACAATGTGTAGTGTAACATTTCGGTTGGTGTAGACCCTTGTGGAGGGTATTTTCGAGACCCTTCTTGGTTGGGGACAGTGTGGCACTGTTCCACATCACTGTACCTCGGCTCTTGGGGTTTGTAGGAGCTGGTAGTCACCCCCAACTCGTAACTCTTCCTATTGTGTGTTCTAAGACTATAGTCGCTGCCATAGTGCCGTTCGTTCAAACCGACGCTGTGTCGTCAATACTTGGTGAAATCGTGCGATCAAAATTGCCTATTGTAGGCGACGTTAAGGGGCTCCAGATCCAATTTGAATCGGGTCATTTGAAGCTGTGACCAGAACGCTATGAATGTTTAAAGCCGCTGTGAAAAATTCCGATTGTGCACTCCATCTTTCGTTTTAGGCACATTGAAGCCTACTGTGATTATAACAAGTGGTATCAGAGCCCCTTGGAGCGGTTTCGACAATGGCTGCACCTGAGGAAAGGGGTGGCAGAGGTGCTGGTGGCAGTGGAGAAGCCCAAGCTCAAGGCCAACCCCGTGACTCAGCCATGGCGCCCGTGCAACCAAGTGTTGGCCCATCTAGGGATGAGCCTAGAGTGTTTGGCCTTGACAAGTTCAACGGTGACAACTTTGCTGAGTGGTCCTTCAGAATGGAGAACGTATTTGACCACTATGACCTGCTGGAGGTGATGGAAGGAACGGAGAAGCGTCCCGAGAACGACCTGGAGAACAGCCCGTGGGTGTGGAAGAGCGCACAAGGCTACCTCCTACTTGGGCAAGCATTGGGGAGTAGCCAGATCCGTCACATCAAGCCATTCCAGCGTGAACCAGAGAATGGACCAAAGGCATGGGCTGCTCTCAAGGGTGTACACGCTCCTGCAACAGCGGCGGTAGCTGTGGTGTTGGAACGGCAAATGGCGACACTACGAATTGAAGAGGACGAAGCGGTTGAAGAAGGGGTGCAGAAATTCTTCGACTTGTTGACGCGGCTTGAAGGAGCTGATTTGAACTACAGTGAGCTCCAGAAGAAGACTAAGTTGATGGCCTTACTCCCAGAGTCATGTTCCTCGCTCATCATCAACCTCAACCGAGATCTGCCCCGCCTCTCGCTCGAAGATGTGAAGCGAGCAATCCTTCAAGAGGATTTCCGCCGCCGTGAGTTGGCGAGTGCGGATGGCGCCGGGGCAGCAAGCATCGGCCGGGGGTACGGTCGTGGAAGAGGCAGAGGACGAGGGGGAGGCAGATTTGGCAGCATCAACTTCAATGGAGGCCGTGGGAGTGGCGGTTACGGCAACGACGACAAGAGCTACGGACGCGGTCGCGGCCGATTCGACGGCGACTGCCACTTTTGCCATAAGAGCGGACATATGTGGCGCGATTGCTACAAACTCCCAGATGGATGGACCCCTGCTCAAGGCCAGGAGGGTAGAGGAGCAGGAGGAGGGAGAGGTAGAGGCCGTGGAGGCCGTGGCGGTCGCGGAGGCAGTGCTGCAAACATGAAGAGTGGAGATAACGACGAGGACTCGAGCGGCGATCGGTACCCGGGTCAATTCTACTTCGTGTCGACACAAGCACCGGCTGGACCAGAGAAGGATGTGGACTTTGAGGAGCCTGCTGCTGTGGGAAAGGTCACCCTACACCCCCTGGACTATTGGGTGATCGATAGCGGTGCTACCTATACCATGACACCTCGCGCGGACTTGCTCACCGAACTTGAACCGTCACCGGTGAAGCATGTCACATCGGCTTTGGGGCAGCGAGCAGAGGTGAAAGGCATGGGCAAGGCCATGTTCAAGGGTGCTGATGGGAAGATGGTGGGCCTCAAGAACGTGCTTTGGGTGCACAGCCTTGCTGCGAACCTGATTTCCGTGCGGCGGTTGGCAAAGGCCGGCATGGACACGAACTCGAAGGGAGCCAAGACCTACACCGCGAGGATTGGCGAGCGGATCCTTTGGGACCTTCACGAGGATAGGGACGTCTACAACAAGATGTGGCAGATCCCTGTGGTCCCCATGCCTAAGGAGAGGCAAGTGGCAGCAAGCGTCAGCACCAAGGGTGAAGCGGTTGGTAGCGGCGATGGCGCGAACGGTCGTGTTAAGGAGAATGAGTCCAACAAGTGGAATCTTGGAGGGACCAGCAAGCAGTGTGAACCTAAGGAGAGTGGTGCAGCAGCCAAGGAGCAGAAAAAGGGTGAGGAGAACCCCGAGGCAGCAGCGGAGGAGGAGTACGGAGAGAGCATGTGGGGCGCTATTGCAAGCGCGGCATTCTCCAACCCGACTTCGGCTACGGGGGAGTGTGATTGGCTCACCTTGCATCGGCGAATGGGGCATGTGGCCCTGCCTATCTTGCAGTAGCTAGTGAAGAATGAGATGGTTGCTGGCATACGTGTGAAGGGGGAGCCCGATGAGGTGCTTGGCTGCCCGACGTGCATTCAAGCCAAGTTCACCCGGTTTCCGTTCCCTAGTTCGGAGGCAACGGCAAAGGCATCACTTGATGAGGTGGTGATGGACGTGGTGGGCCCCCTGAAGCTTGGAGCTGCTGGAGCTGAATATTTCCTCACCATTGTGGATGTCTACACCCGCATGACTTGGGTGTATGTGCTGTCCAAGAAGAGCGACGTGGCTGAAACGGTGAAGACCGATTGGTTGCCGATGGTGGAGCGGCAACAAGACCGGCTTGTGAAGTCGATCCGCACCGATCGTGGGGGAGAGTTCCTGAGCAAGGATTTCGGTTTGTGGCTGAAGAAGAATGGGATAAGGCACTCCCTTACCATGCCATACTCCCCTGCAATGGACGGCATTGCCGAGCGAGCGAACCGGACAATCACGGAGACGGCACGCGGGTTGCTCATTGAAGCCGGGCTACCCGATTACTACTGGCCTGATGCGGTGCGGAGTGCGTGTGTGGCCAAGAACAGAGCCCTGACTCATGTGGGAGCAGACAAATGGGTGCCCTATGTGGAGTGGATCGGAAGGAAGCCAAAGGTGGATATGCTTCGGGTGTTCGGGTGCATGTGCGTTGCGCTCGTACCTAAGCATCTTCGGCACAACAAGCTTGGTGCCAAGGCGATATGGGCCGTGCACTTGGGCATGGCTCAAAACAGAAAGGGGTGGCTTCTGTGGGACCCATTCACCAAGAAGTTCTTGGTGAGCAGGGATTGCAAGTTCATGGAGAACCTGATGTACAAGGATTGGAAGGCGGAGATCGAGGCGAAGATAGGCGTGCGGATTGGAGAGGTGAAGAGTTCCGGCCTGGAGCACGTGGAGCTGCCTTTGGAGCTGAGCAGTGGCAGCACTACCACAAGGCAATCTTCCCTTGTGAATGGGGGAGAGGAGGCCAAGGATGCAGAGGAAGAAGAGGAGGAGGTGCAGCAAGTGAGCGAGCGTGCACCTAAACTTCCCTCTCGCACTACGAGTGCTCCACGGATCCGAGCCACACCGCAGCAATGCCAAGGCCTTCAAGTCCCTGCAGCTGAGGAGGAAGGAAGGGGCAAGAGGAGAGTCCAAGCCCCTAACAGGCTGACCTATGATGCACCAGGAAAGCAAGGCAAGACAGCCTTGGCCGGAGTGGCAATGATGGTCGGAGACGACGAGGAGAGTGATTACGAGGAGTGTGCCTTCGCGTTCTTCTCTCCGGTGGAGATGCCGGGAGAACCAGCAACTCTCAAGGAGGCCTTGGAGAGTAGTGATGCTGAGGAGTGGAAGAAGGCAATGGAGAGTGAGCTGAAGAGTATTGAGGAGAATGACACGTTTGAATTGGTGGAGCTACCGGAGGGACGTAAGGCGATAACGTCCAAGTGGCTCTTCAAGATCAAGTCGGACGCCGACGGCAAGATCGAGCGCTACAAGTCTTGGCTTATAGCCAAGGGGTACCAGCAGAAGGAGAAGGTGGACTTCAAGGAGCTGTTTGCTCCTGTGGTGAAGCCAACGACGCTGCGGACCCTACTCGCGGGAGCCGCCATCAAAGGATGGGTGGTGAAGCAGATTGACATTGTAACGGCATTCCTCAACGGCGTTCTAGAGGAAGAGATCTTCATGGCGTAGCCAGAGGGGTTTGATGATGGTATTGGCAGAGTGTGGAAGCTGAAGAAGGCCCTCTATGGGCTGAAGCAGGCCCCTAGGCAATGGTACATGAAGCTGCGCGAAGTGTTGGAGGAGATCGGCTTCACTCCCTCTACGGCCGATCACTCCTTGTTCATGCTTGGCGAGGGGGAGCAGAGGAGCTTCATGGTGGTGTACGTGGATGACATCCTCATCTTCTCACCCTCCTCTGACCTTGTGAAGGAGGTGATGCTGAAGCTTCAGGACAAGTTCAAGTGCAAGGCACTTGGCGACATGAACTTCTACCTCGGGCTCCACATCGAACGCGACGTGGAGAAGTGGTGCATGCGGGTGCACCAACGGAAGTACCTGGAGGCGTTGGCTGCCAACTTTGGGCAGAGTGAAGGTCATGTGGCTACACCCTTTCCCTCTGGGTTCAAGTGT